GATTACAAAGGTTTATCTGGTAATCTACGGGGATTAGAGAGGTTTACCTGGTAATCTACAGGGATTACAAAGGTTTATCTGGTAATCTACGGGGATTAGAGAGGTTTACCTGGTAATCTACAGGGATTACAAAGGTTTACCTGGTAATCTACGGGGATTAGAGAGGTTTACCTGGTAATCTACGGGGATTAGAGAGGTTTACCTGATAATCTACAGGGATTAGAGAGGTTTACCTGGTAATCTACAGGGATTAGAGGGTGATGTGGAGGGAAAGCTCGTGTCGATCCTTTACGGTGAACCAGCAGGGTCCTCTGCTTCCCGTCCACCATGTGCTCTTCGACCTTGGCGATGTTGTGAGACACGTCATAGATGATGTGCATGTCCAGGTCGTCGGGCGTGGTGCCGAAGACTTTGGAGAAGGCCTGAAAGGTCAGACGGAGCCTGAAGCAGAYGTTCTGAGCTCTCTGGAGATGAATGAGGACCAGAGGTGAGCGTACCTGTCTGGTGAGGAATGTCATGGAGGACCGGTTGACCCAGGCGTAGTTTCCTGCAGCCGCCATGCCCTTCAGGTAGTCCTGACCCTCCTGGGAGGTGATGCGAGCGCAGGCCAGCTGGCGATCATTTACCGTGATCTTATCACGTTTCATGGCCTTCTCCATGGCAACCAGAGCGTCTGACAACAACAAAGATGTTTTCTTTACACACTGATTATCTTAACATCCCCTGAGATGTCTTTATGTGAAGTGTCCTACCTGTGGCCACCTGGTGTCCGAGGCCTCGGCTGCCGCTGTGGATCATCACGCACACCTGGCCTTTGTGGTCGATGCCCATCTTCTTGGCTGCGTAGTCGTCATAGATGTCGTCCACCACCTGGATCTCAGCGTAGTGGTTTCCTGCTCCCAGAGTTCCCAGCTTCAACACAAAAACAAATYTTTTCTGAATCCTGAACGGGTGGTAAGCACCTGAAAGGGGCGGGGCCTCAGGGTTACCTGCGGCAGGCCTCTCTTCTTGGCCTTGGACGACACCTTGTTGGGGTCGGCCTGCAGCATCCTGCCGTACTCCTCGCAGTGCTCCTTGTCCTCGGCCCAGGCGTAGCCCTCCCTCAGAGACCAGTCCACTCCCATCTCCAGAGCCTCCTCCAGGTCCCTGAGGACAGACAGGTAGGTGAGGTCCAGCTCAGACCTACATTTGGGTTCAGAGGATCCTGCTCACTTGGCTCCCATCGGGATGACCCCTTTGGACCCGACTCCGACTGGGATGTGGTCAAACAGAGACTGGGCCAGCTGTTCTTTGACGGGCTGGACGTCCCGCTCGTCCAGGTTTGTCCTCAGGAGACGGACGCCACAGTTTATGTCGAAGCCGACGCCCCCTGAAACAAGAACATTTATTTTTATTTCAAAACATGATTATACTTCTGCTCTGGAACCAGAACTGTGTMTCACCTGGAGACACGACAGCATCTGGATCATTCATGTCAAAGGCCGCCATGTTCCCGATGGCGAATCCGTAGCCTGAGTGGACATCAGGAAGTCCAATGGACCTCTGAGGACACATGGAGGACACAGGTTACCTTCAGAGCCTCCAAAGGTTTCAATAAATCACTGCGACTCACGTGAACGATCCCGGGCAGCGCCGCCACATTCCCGATCTGTTTCATGGCRGGCAGGAACCCGCCCACACCTGAAGACAAAAACACAACAGATGAGTCTCTGAACACCTGGGACAGGTGGTGATGTCAGCAGGTCAGCCCACCTCCTCCTCGACATGCGTTACGAAGCTCCTCGAACATCAGCTTCTCCAGAGAATCGTTCACGTAGAAAATCCCTTCCACCTGACAGGAAACACAAACTAACCGTTAACGACTGACCGGACCCTCGTTAACGACAGACAGGACCCTCGTTAACGACCGACGGGACCCTCGTTAACGACAGACAGACAGGACCCTCGTTAACGACCGACGGGACCCTCGTTAACGACAGACGGGACCTTCGTTAATGACAGACAGGACCCTCGTTAACGAC